TCATAGCCAACTAAGCAAAGCAACCACCACCACCGACAACTCCAGTTACACCACAGTGCTTTTTTTACTTACAGAGTTACAGTGTCGTGAAAGTAAAAAGCGTTAAAAGTTAAAGACGATATTATCTAGCCCAAAAACGATCGGCCCAAGTATAAGAAAAATCAAGCCCAAGAGGTGAGAGACTAACCATGATCAAACCCAATTGGTTTATATTCGATTTAAAAATAGAAACAGAATTGAACCGAACCGAGATCAATAATTGGTTTAAAGATATTTTGCATGTGGGAGATGTGGTGGCCACAGGGCAGAATTAGACAGACTGTAAATTGACAAGATTGAGAAAATGGCAAACATTTGAATCCCAAAGACCGCCACTTTCTCTTCGCTATACGACAAATCTTCCCTCCTCTTTGTTCCCTAAACCTTTCCACCTTCTTTGCATCGTAACTTGTAACCCTAAAATTTCGTCTTGATAAAACCATTCCTCTGTTTCTCCGCTTTCTTCTCTTGTAATCTGGGCTTTTCCCCCCCCCCCTTGAATTGGATCAATAACAAGGTCAGTGATTCTCTTAATGTTGTTTTGAAATTGGGGTTTAGATCTTTGATTGTACTGTTGATCTGGGTTTTGTAGATCTTTCGATCTGAGTTACTTACTCTGTTTAATTGAGATTCATGAGTTATCTGATTACCAAAATTGTTCAAAAAGACCTTTTCCTCTTAAAGTTGTGATTTTTAATCAAAAACTTATAAAGTTGGGATTTTTAGCTACAAGAAAATAGGGGACTTTGTTAAAATCCAATAAACCCTAGTTTTTTTTTTTCATTTCCTGGAATTTCATGAGTAAAGAACATGTTCTTGTCTTCACTTTGTGTCGCTTGTTTCTCTATGTTGGCGAAATTGGTTTATTTGCTCACAAAATTGTTCATTTTTTTTGTTTGGTATTTGGTTGAACAATTGTTTTTAAGCAAGTGATTCTCTTTCTTTTGTGTAATTGTAGTCATGGATTCTCCCACAAAAACTGGACTAGAGATCTCTGATGATTCATTTGAAGAAATCCCATCAGGTACATAAATCTTTGTCTAATTCATTCATGTGTTACTGTGTTTGGTTTGATTCTGTTCTAGCACAAATCTTACATACTGTCAGTTTCAGACCACAATGCCTCTTCTTCCCCTGAAACACCAAAGTCTGAGAGAATACCTGTAGCTTTCAACTTTGATAATGGCAGTTCTGATGTTACTCCGAATCATGAATCCGACTCTTCGTATTCTGAGTTAGACTCTGAAGCAGAAGCCTTTTATTCGTCTCTTAACCACCACTTGGTCTCACCAGGAGCAATGGATAGTCATGAGTTTGCTGATAAACCAATGAGTTATGGAGAATTGATGAAGAAATTTGTCCAATGCGAGGAAGAGCTAAGGACTACGACTCTAAAGCTCGAAGAATCTGAACAAGAGATTGAGAAACTAAAAGGTGAGGCTGAGAAGAGAGACTCTGCTGTTACGCTTGCTGAGAATCTACGCGCTGAGCTTGAAACTGCACGGAGAGAAGTAGAGATGAGGGACACAGATATTGAGACTGAGAAAAGGCGAGTTCTTGAGATGCAAAGACAGGTGGTTGATTTGGAAACTAAGCTATCAGACGCAAGTTTCAAGATTGAGAATCTAGTGAACGAGCTTGAAGTGAGTAGAGAATGTTTAGATGTATCAGATGCTGAGATCTCAAAGCTGAAAGAGATGTTGTGTGATCGTCAAATGGAAAAAGCAAAGCTGGAGACTGATATTGCTGGTGTGTTAGTAGAACAACAGGCTCTCTTCGAAGCTCGGTTCAAAGAAATCAAATCACGTGGTGAGGAATTGGAAGATCTAATTAGGCAATCTGATGCTGAGAAAATGGAGATGAAGAGTAAAGAGGTTAAGTTGCAAGCTGATATCGATGCATTGAAGACAAACTTGACCTCCCGAGATGAGCATATGGAAGCGTTGAACAAAGATTTCGACAAGCATAAGTTGAGATACGACATGTTAATGGCAGAGAAAGATGGAGTATGTGCTGAATTAGACAATCTAAAAGCAGAGATGAGAACAAGAGACATCCAAATGGAGGAGCAACTTAACCAGATGCGTAATACGCATACCGAGCTTGTGTCTGTATCAGGAACAGCCAAGAACACTGTTGAAGAACTAAGAGCTGTGGTTAAAGGACTGGAGAAGCAAGTAGAGTTGCAGAGAAATGTGATATCAGAAGGAGAGGAAGAGAAACGAGAAGCGATTAGACAGCTTTGTTTCTCTCTGGATCATTACAAAAGCGGATACAGACAGCTTCTTCAGTTTCTTTCGAGCAATAACAAGCAGCAACAACAATCATCAATCATGGTCGTTTGAGTTGGATTGAATACTATCTACTCTGCTTGTTCGTTACAATAGTCTAATGTCTTTCTTTGTCCCATCATCTTTATGTCATTGTGTGTTTCTACTCTATCTCAGACATTTTTCAGAATCTTAAGTAATAATTGCAATTTATATGAAATTTAAGCTCAAAGATGCGTTAATGTGTGTGTATTATATCGACAGGTGTTTCTATCAGAAGTTTGCTTTTATGCTTATGTAATAATGACGTAAAGCCTAAGTAATTAAAAGGCAAGAGAAGAAAAAGTCAAAAGGCAAAAACACAAACCTAATCTTCCAATATCTCAAATTTGGTTGACTCTCTCAATGCAAGAGTTGGAGTTAATGTGAAATGCTGATAAAAGCTTTTTTTAATAACGACTGAATTATTATGGACATTTATAAACATTTATTCCTGATTTATATGTGTTGTCAAGAAAATTTTAGTGAACACAACAGCATTCATAAAACTAATTATGGACCCAAAGCAATAATAATGACAAAATATAGTTGAACAAGTCTGTTTTTTTATACAGAGTTTATATATTATTTTCTCCAAATTCCGATTCTATATCGTGTTGAAAATTTATGCTTGGGTCAAACAATTTATGTATTTGTTTTGTTTTAAAAATAGTATAACAAGATCTGACTATACCAGGATTGGTCATGTTGTGCATGACTTTGTTTCATAAGTCCATTGCCTCTTTATTCTCTTCCCGTGTAACGTTATATGGTTAAGTGCGTAGTTACGTATGTGCATGCAAATATATTTATTTTCAAATCAAGTTTATTCTTTGGAGTGTATTAACTTGTAAATGTGATTGTATGTGTGAAACGACTTTGCAAGACCGCGGGCTACGAACTTTATTAGTTAGATACAACAAATAATTAAATTTAAAACTAGCTAAAGAAAAGGTTAGCATGGCTCCTTTATTTTTTGCTTTATTTCATTCCTAATTAAAGTTTCAGAAATTTGGAAAATTGGAATTTGAAAATGAATTTGTTCCAATACACTTTAAAGTGTTTAGTTTTGTCCTATTATGCTTTAGTTAAAGTGAAACCGGTTTTTGTCCTCTAATTTAATAAAAATAAATGTTTTTTGTTAAATTTATTATAAAAAAAATTATTGTCCGATTTATGGAAAATCTATTTATAGAAAATATTTTTATATTGTAAACAAAAGATATTAAAAATATATATATCATCGAAACCATCGAAACTATGAAACCCTCTCTTTGCCTATTCTTCTCTTTTTTCTGTCTACTCTGTCGCCACCAAACCTGATGAAGAAGATGATGAGCTTGCTGGTTTAGAAGAGAACTCCGATGAGGATTGTAAAATAGAGCAAC